CAAACTTTATTACTCTAGTTATATTACTATTATTATAACCATTTTATTACAATTAAACTTTTGAAAATTTTAAAAACAAACGATTGGCGTTTTTCACATAACCTAATCCTTGTGGTGCACATTACCAATGTCCCTAAGACAGCATATAAGCATTTGTAAGTGGAGGCCTTGGGGGCATCCCCTGGGGACAGAGGCAGCTTCCCCCAGAAGAAGAGAGACCCCACTGTCTCCTTCCCCTGCTCCTGTGTCCCTGAGCCACTCCTCCCTATTCCCTTTTCCCTGTGCTGCCCCAGACCAGGGTCACCCCCAGCCCTGGGGAGAGAAACCTGGACCCTGGCACCTGAACATCTCACAGCTGAGTGCAGCATCTGTGGGTGCCACACAAAGGCCCCTTCTGCTCCCTCACCCTGGACCTCACAGCAATTCAGGCTGCAGCTCCTGTTGCCCACCATGAAATGGGATTCTGGTCACCAGCAGTGCCCCTGCCTCTCTCCATGAGAGGCCAGCTCACTCCTGACTGCACCGACAGGCAGCACTCGTTGGAAAATGTGGGGAGATGGGATATAAGACAATAAAGGCAGTGCAGAAAGTAATCTCACCCCAAGGAGCTGCAGCAGGGCCAGTTACCAAAGATCAGGAGCAGGCCTGACTGCAACAGGCCACAGCTGCCACCAGTGAGAAGAGTGCTGGAAAAGAGTGGGTTGGCTGGTTGAGGGGGACCTGGAGTCAGCTGCTTTGTGAGGAGAAAAGAGTCAGTGCCCATAAGAAAACACCCAAAAGTTATGAAACTTTTGTGATAAAGAGACAGCAGTGTGGAACTTCTGGAATTTGATGACAGCAGGAAAGCCCTTCCAGCTCACACCTGAGAGGCAGCACTCCTTGGGAGCCCCTTCCAGCCCATGGGACAGGGCTGGGAGTGCTGGGGTGGGTCAGCTAGAGAAAATTTTGGGGCAGCACGCTAGGCACAAAGAATATTTTGGAGGAAACTCCATTCATCTGTAGGGGACAGAAGGAACATTTTGGGGTAAAGACAGAGGTCACAGTGGCACTCCCAGCATGAAACAGACCCCAGAGTGTGGGAAATGGATTTGTAGAGAACTCTCAAAGCCTGACAGAAGGCTCACACAGTGTGCATACATTGAGACAAGAAATGCTGATTGGAAATGCCATGGAATGGGACAGACATTGCTGAGAGAGAAATGGAGCTGGAAACAAGTTTCAGAGGATGGCCTTGCAAATAGGACTGGATGCTTTGGGGAAACAGAGCTGTGAAAGATGCATTGCAGTAGGACCCTGAGGGGTGATTTTACATGATTGGCTTTAAGGCATGTACAGCATGGCCTGGCTAAAGCTGACAGGCCAAGAAACACTTGCAGTGTATTGGAATTAGGAAATACATTGGAATATATTGGAATTAGGAAAGAGCTTCTGATTGTGATGGAGTGAATTATAACATCTGTACTGCCTCACCCTTCTCATGAGACTGAAAATGGAGTCAAGTTTTTAAAACACCTCTCAGCTGCCCCATCTCTGGGTCAGAAAAAGGCACTGTCCAACACCAGAGGAGGGGCTGGTCCTGCCATGGGGCTCTGTTAGAGACCCCATCCTCAGGGCACCTGTCCTGCAGGTGAGCAGACCAGGGAGGCCTCTCCAGACTCCTCTTTGCCAATCAGGCTTTATTCACAGCTTCCATATTGTCAGGACATGCTGTGTAAGAAACATATTGACATTAAATGAGTTTATGAAAATATTACATCTGTTATGTGTATAAAAACGTAAGGAGAAATGTTCACAGTCCACTTTTTTTTTTTTTTTTTCTTTTTTTTTTTGGCAGGGAGGAGGGACCCTGACCCTCCCTGTGTAGTTTTGGGAAAAAAAACTGTTCTTAATTGTAGATTGCAAGATAATGTGTGTGCTCAATTCCCATCTGTCAGAGCTGGGCAGTTCTCTGCTGTTCATGGGGCAGTACATCACGTGGCGCTGGCGGTCGCTCCGGTGTGTCGGTGCCGTGCGGTCTCACCGTGCGTGCAGCCGTCTCTGGTGTCAGCCCCAGCCAGCTCGGTGCTCTCTGCGGTTCCGGTGCCGGGCTCCGTGCACAGCCAGGCCTCTGGGCACCGCGTGCGCCGTGCTGCCCGCAGCCCAGCCCGCCACAGCGCCCGGGGACGGTGCCGGTACCGGTACCAGTACCAGTATCGGTATCGGCACCAGTATCAGTGCTGGTATCAGTGCTGGTACCGGTGTCACTGCTGGTCCCGGTACCGGTATCAGTGTGTCAGTATCAGTGCTGGTACCGGTACCGGTGCCGGTGTCACGGTCGGTATCGGTGTCACTGCCGGTATCGGTGTGTCAGTGCCGGTCCCGGTATCGGTGTGTCAGTACCGGTGCCGGTGTGTCAGTATCAGTACCGGTATCAGTGTCGGTGTCACTGCCGGTACCGGTACCGGTGTCGGTGTGTCAGTACTGGTACCGGTGTCACTGCCAGTACCGGTGCCGGTATCGGTGTGTCAGTGTCAGTGCCGGTATCAGTATCAGTACCAGTATCGTTGTGTCAGTGCCGGTATCAGTACCGGTGTCGGGGCCGGTGTCGGTGTGTCAGTACCGGGGCCGGTGTCGGTGTGCCAGTATCACCGGTGCCGGTGCCGGTGTCACGGTCGGTATCGGTGTCAGTGCCGGTATCGGTGTGTCAGTATCAGTGCCGGTATCAGTACCGGTGCCGGTATCGGTGTGTCAGTATCAGTGCCGGTATCAGTACCGGTGCCGGTATCGGTGTGTCAGTATCAGTGCCGGTATCAGTACCGGTGCCGGTATCGGTGTGTCAGTATCAGTGCCGGTATCAGTACCGGTGCCGGTATCGGTGTGTCAGTATCAGTGCCGGTATCAGTACCGGTGCCGGTATCGGTGTGTCAGTATCAGTGCCGGTATCAGTACCGGTGCCGGTATCGGTGTGTCAGTATCAGTGCCGGTATCAGTACCGGTGCCGGTATCGGTGTGTCAGTATCAGTGCCGGTATCAGTACCGGTGCCGGTATCGGTGTGTCAGTATCAGTGCCGGTATCAGTACCGGTGTCGGGGCCGGTGTCGGTGTGTCAGTACCGGTGCCGGTGTCGGTGTGCCAGTATCAGTACCGGTGTCAGTACCGGTGCCGGTGTCGGTGTGCCAGTATCACCGGTGCCGGTGCCGGTGTCACGGTCGGTATCGGTGTCAGTGACGGCATCGGTGTGTCAGTATCAGTGCCGGTATCAGTACCGGTGCCGGTATCGGTGTGTCAGTACCGGTACTGGTGTCACTGCCGGTGCCGGTACCGATATTGGTGTGTCAGTATCAGTACCGGTATCGGTGTGTCAGTGTCAGTACCGGTATCAGTACCGGTGCCGGTGTCGGTATGTCAGTATCTATCAGTACCGGTGCCGGTGTCGGTATGTCAGTATCTATCAGTGCCGGTATCAGTACCGGTGCCGGTGTCGGTGTGTCAGTATCTATCAGTGCCGGTATCAGTACCGGTACCGGTATCGGTGTGTCAGTATCAGTACCGGTATCAGTACCGGTACCGGTATCGGTGTGTCAGTATCAGTACCGGTATCAGTATCACCGGTGTCGGTGTCGGTGCCGGTGTCGGTGTGTCAGTACCGGTATCAGTATCACCGGTGCCGGTGCCGGGGCCGGTGTCGGTGTGTCAGTACCGGTGCCGGTATCGGTGTGTCAGTATCAGTACCGGTATCAGTGTCAGTCCCGGTACCGGTGTGTCAGTATCTATCAGTACCGGTGTCGGTATCGGTGTGTCAGTATCAGTACCGGTATCAGTACCGGTACCGGTATCGGTATGTCAGTATCAGTACCGGTATCAGTATCACCGGTGTCGGTGTCGGTGCCGGTGTCGGTGTGTCAGTACCGGTGCCGGTGTCGGTGTGCCAGTATCAGTACCGGTGTCAGTACCGGTGCCGGTGTCGGTGTGCCAGTATCACCGGTGCCGGTGCCGGTGTCACGGTCGGTATCGGTGTCAGTGCCGGTATCGGTGTGTCAGTATCAGTGCCGGTATCAGTACCGGTGCCGGTATCGGTGTGTCAGTACCGGTACTGGTGTCACTGCCGGTCCGGTGCCGGTGCCGGTGTCACGGTCGGTATCGGTGTCAGTGCCGGTATCGGTGTGTCAGTATCAGTGCCGGTATCAGTACCGGTGCCGGTATCGGTGTGTCAGTACCGGTACTGGTGTCACTGCCGGTGCCGGTACCGATATTGGTGTGTCAGTATCAGTACCGGTATCGGTGTGTCAGTGTCAGTACCGGTATCAGTACCGGTGCCGGTGTCGGTATGTCAGTATCTATCAGTACCGGTGCCGGTGTCGGTATGTCAGTATCTATCAGTGCCGGTATCAGTACCGGTGCCGGTGTCGGTGTGTCAGTATCTATCAGTGCCGGTATCAGTACCGGTACCGGTATCGGTGTGTCAGTATCAGTACCGGTATCAGTACCGGTACCGGTATCGGTGTGTCAGTATCAGTACCGGTATCAGTACCGGTACCGGTATCGGTGTGTCAGTATCAGTGCCGGTATCAGTGTCAGTACTGGTCCCGGTATCGGTGTGTCAGTACCGGTACCGGTATCAGTGCCGGTATCAGTATCAGTGCCGGTGCTGGTGTGTCAGTACCGGTGTCACGGTCGGTATCGGTGTGTCAGTACCGGTACCGGTATCAGTGCCGGTATCAGTACCGGTGCCGGTGCCGGTGTGTCAGTATCACCGGTGCCGGTGCCGGTGTGTCAGTGCCGGTGTCGGTGTGTCAGTATCACCGGTGTCGGTGTGTCAGTGCCGGTGCCGGTGTGTCAGTATCACCGGTGCCGGTGTCACGGTCGGTGCCGGTCCCGCCCGAGGCGCCGCGGTCACGTGCGCCGCGGTCCCGTGCCCGCGCGGGCGGGCCGGCGCAGGCGCAGTGGCGCGGG